CTCACACCACAGAACACACCACACCACACCTCACACCACAGAACACACCACACACCTCACACCACAGAACACACCACACTTCACCTCACCACACACCACACCACACCACACCTCACACCACACACCACACCACACTTCACACCACAGAACATATCACACCTCACCTCACCACACAACATACCACACAACACACACCACACCACACCTCACCTCACCACACAACACACACCACACACCTCTCCACACACCACACCGCACCTCACCACACAACACACCTCACCTCACCACACAACACACACCACACAACGCACCTCACCACACAACACACCACACCTCATCTCACCACACACCACACCTCACCACACAACACACCACACCACCTCACATACCACACACCTCACCTCACAACACACACCACACCACACCGCACAACACACACACACCACACCACGCCACACCTCACCACACCACACACCTCACACCACAGAACACACCACATAACACCTCACACCACAGAACACACCACACCACACAACACACCACACCACACACCTCACCTCACAACACACCACACCACACCTCACCACACCACACAATACACCACACCACACACCACACCTCACCACACCACACCACACCTCACCACATCACACCACACACCTCACCACACAACACACCACACCACAGAACACACCACACTGCACAACACACCACACCTCACCTCACAACACACACCACACCACACCTCACATCACACAACACACCACACCAAACCACACAACATACCACACCTCACCACACCTCACAACACACACACCTCACCACACAACACACCACACCTCACCACACAACACACCACACCTCACCCCACCTCACCCCACACCACACCTCACCACACCTCACACCACACCACACAGCACACCACTCCTCACCACACCTCACCCCACACCACACCACACCTCACCACACCTCACCACACAGCACACCTCACCACACACTACACCTCACCACACACCACACCTCACCACACACCACACCTCACTACACCTCACCTCACACCACACACCTCTCACCACATACACCACACCTCACCACACCTCACCGCACCTCACATCTCACAACACAACTCACCACATACCACACACCTCATACCTCACAACACACCACACCACACACCTCACCACACCTCACACCTCACCACACACCACACCTCACCACACACCACACCTCACTACACCTCACCTCACACCACACACACCTCTCACCACATACACCACACCTCACCACACCTCACCGCACCTCACATCTCACAACACAACTCACCACATACCACACACCTCATACCTCACAACACACCACACCACACACCTCACCACACCTCACACCTCACCTCACACCACACCTCACCACACCACACCTCACACCTCACCACACCACACCTCACCATACCACATCACACCTCACCACACCACATCACACCACACCACACCTCACCACACTACACCTCACCATACCACATCACACCTCACCATACCACATCACACCTCACCACACCAGATCACACCTCACCACACCACATCACACCACACCTCACCATACCACATCACACCTCACCACACCACATCACACCACACCACACCACACTACACCTCACCATACCACATCACACCTCACCATACCACATCACACCTCACCACACCAGATCACACCTCACCACACCACATCACACCACACCACACCTCACCACATCACATCACACCACACCACACCTCACCACACCTCACCTCACCACACCACACCTCACACCACACATCACACCTCACCACACCTCACCACACCACATCACATCACACCACACCACACCTCATCACACCTCACCTCACCACACCACACCTCACACCACACCACACCACACCACATCACACCTCACCTCGCTGCCCGCACACGACGCAGGCTGCCCGCCTCCTGGAGAGCACACTTCAGCTGAAACAGTAAAGCCTGATGGGTGCAAATGGAACCTGGACGTGTGCATGTGTGTCCCAGGCAGGGACGGCACAGGAGGGTGCATGGGGCGTGGGGAGCTGAGCCAGGGTCGCTCACTCAGAAATGTCTTTGGAATGGTATTTAACTAATGCTGCTGGCAGACATCCTAAAACCAGATGCATCCTCAGAAGATGAGTCTACTAATTATTGCCTTTTTTGTTTGTTGTATTACAAACCTGCATAAAATACCTCATTTCAAATCAAATCTTACAAATTTAGAAGAGAGATGTATTTTCCGAAAATAGTGGAAGGCCTTTGTTCCTTCCCGGGTTTGTCCTGAGCCTGCACTGTCCTCGCCTGCAGCCTCGGAGGGACGGGCATCCCCACGCAGACTTGACCGGCAGGGCGGGCCCGGGACCTGCGGGCTGGCTCCGAGTGGCAGCGCATGCCTGCTGCAGAGTATGGGTTGACACTCGACAAGTTGAAATCAGTGCCTCTATGGATGGCTGCCCCTTCAGACAATGGGCAGTGCCCACCCCGCCCACTGGCATCTGCGTGGGAGGGTTAGGCCGCCCTACCACACATCCCGCCCCCTCCCGGAGGCAGCTGCAGGACAGGACACCAGGCTAGCTGCTTTTTTTAGACTGCCTCTGGCCCAGGCCCAGTCCTCGGTGTCAGGGAGCCCCCAGGCCACAGGTGGAGGGTGATAAATTATGTTCCCTGACAGGACCCAGCCAGCTACATAGGTGGAGGTTTTCCATGTCCAAATGAGGTCAAGATGCCGAAATCCCAGATCTGACTTCTCACTTCCCTTTTCTAGAACCTTTTGTAAAAGTTGGTGGCAGCAGAGGCAGCCCCAGGCCGGGCTGCACCTCTCTGTGTCTGTTGTGCCTTGCCCGGCGCCTCACGGATGGCAAAGCTCTCCTCACCCACGGGACTGTAGTGCAATTAAACCCGCGTCTAGGTGATGCTTTTAAACTTGTAGCTTCGTGCTTTGTACAGTTTTCTTTCTGGTTTTAATTTTTAGTTGTGCTTTGAGTCAGTGCAATAAACTAGACTTTTTCCAAACCTGGTCGAGTGTGCTGCCTGAGCTGTGAGAAGTGCCCTCAGCCAACGCTCATGAGGGCAGTGCAAGGGAGAACCTGCCAGCCCAGCACCACCGCAGGCAGAGTGCGTCAGCAGACCTGTCCCGGCACGGCTGGTGTTGAAATACACACCGGTTTGCCCAAGTGGCTGTTACGGGGGAATGGCCACTCCAGAGCTGGCTGCCCCCCATGGTAGCCTCTGAGGAGGATGCTGTGGGGTGAGGTCCAGGGCTGCCTCCTCATGGAGCTGTGGGCAGGCATTGGAGGGGTTCAAGACCCTGGTTCTACATCTCCAGCCAGCAAACGAAACCATATCGCAGAAGTGCCCTGCTGGAAACTAGCACACGCAAAAGATGACGCCCAGAGCAGCAGCAGGACACACCATGTACCAGGAAATGACCTCAGCAAGAAACCTCAGGCCATGTGAAGAGCGGCAAAGGTTTCCAGAAGGCATAAAAGGAAACTTGAATAAAGGAAGATCTGTTCCACATTCCTGGATGGAGGACTACACACATTATGGAAAGACCTCATTCTTTCCAAAGGAATTTATAGGTGTAGCTTGATTTCACTTCCAATCCCCACTGGGATTGTTTTGTTGGGGCAGGCAGGGAGGAATAATGTTAGTGCCCACAAATGCCCATGACTGTGGCCAATGTGCTGCTCACCAGAGCCCTGCAAGGTGAAGTCTCATTAGCCCCTTGAGACTCAGAGAGTTTAGGTAGCTTGCTCAAGCTCACCCAGCACTGAGACTGGAAGCCAGCTCTGTAGAACTGCAGACTCTGTGCTGTTTGATGCCTCCTCACTGTTCCCTGTCACTCCTGGGAAGAAGAAACGGGTGAGAACTGCTAAGTGATGACAGGTGGAGCCGCAGCAGGGGCCACTCTATCGAATGGCAGGGCCCAGACCCTCGGAGGGCCAGGCAGCAGCCTAGCGAGGCCCACAGGGAGGAAGCAGAACGGAGGGGGCATCTCAGATGCGTTTAAGGAACGGCGGGGGGCGGGGGAGGTGTCACAACTAATGTGGCCACTGCTTCATTCTCTGGGCAAAATAATATTAAATGGATTAAAGAATCTAAAACTAGTGGGGAAACTGATTTCTGGATGGCAAAGGCTTTCTAAACTCAAAAGTGATGGGACAAGCCACAGAGGAAAATAAGTATGTAGATTTGATTTCTCCAAAATGTAGAAATGCTGCTGGGCACAGTGACATGCACTTGTAGTCCCAGCTACTTGGGAGGCCAAGGCAGGAGGATTGCTTGAGCCCGGGAGTTTGAGACTGCAATGAACTATGATCACACCACTGTACTCCAGCCTTGGCGACAGAGCAAGACCTTGTTTCTCAAAAATAAATAAATAGAAGGAAATAAATGTAAAAATGCTGCAAATTAAAAACCTCAAAGAAGGGGAATAATTGCAACAAACGGGAATTGATGTTGAATATTTACCTTAAAAACTTATACAAACAATACTAGGAGTGCGCCCTTCGCCAGCACGTATACAAAAATCGTAATGATACAGAGGTTAGCGTGGCCCCTGCGTAAGGATGACTCGCAAATTTGTGAAGCGTTCTATAAATATATTTATTAACTAAAAACCAATAGGAGGAGCACTTCAAGTCGAGTGTAAGGGCCCTTCACAGAAGCAGAAGGAACACTGGTCCAAACCCCCAGCACCCCAGAAGGAGAGGTGAGATGGGAGCAGCCTGGGAGCCCCCCATTGGCGCCGTCCTGCTGGGAAAGCCAGTCCTAAGAACAAGTCCTAAGTCAAGGAAAACAGTATAGCCTGTTTATAATTAGGAAGCACTTAAAACAGCCTGGCATTTGGGAACAGCCATGTTAACGGGAGCAAATTCCCCTCATGAAATAGCCTGCAGCTGTTAAGAAGCACGTGTGTGCAGGAAGCGGCCGTGCAGGACCTCACTGCGCCAGCGTGAAGTTCCCGGGCCCGGTTGTGAAAACGTGGTTCCGTAGGAAATCAGAGGGAGAAAGGGAGAGAAGGGGAGGGAGACAGTCCAAACGCTGGAGGGTATTTGTTGTAAGCTTCAAACTTTCCGCAGGTTTGAAATGTTTCATAACTCCAGGGGGGAGAAGGGGGGGCGAAAAGAAACAAGTTCTCTACTTGTGATGAGCAGCTAGTCACAGTGGTTGCCTGGAGTATATGCCTTTTTGTATCCTTTGAATTTCCAGTCATGTAAATATATTATTTATTCCAAAAATAAATCAGATTTACATTTTAAAAATTCAGTTGTCTCTAACTACTCTTTGTTATCAAGGCTGGTTGAGTCAAATATCACAAAATAGACACCAATGACTTCTTAAAAATAATATTTACGGCCCGGCCGGGCGCGGTGGCTCACGCCTATAATCCCAGCACTTTGGGAGGCCGAGGCGGGCGAGGTTAGGAGATCGAGACCATCCTGGCTAAGAAGGTGAAACCCCATCTCTACTAAAAATACAAAAAATTAGCCGGGCGTGGTGGCAGGCACCTGTAGTCCCAGCTACTTGGGAGGCTGAGGCAGGAGAATGGCGTGAACCCAGGAGGCGGAGCTTGCAGTGAGCCGAGATCGCGCCGCTGCACTCCAGCCTGGGCGACTGAGCGAGACTCCATCAAAAAAAAAAAATCATATGTACAAAGTACAGTGGGGGGCACAGTGACATGCACTTGTAGTCCCAGCTACTTGGGAGGCTGAGGCAGGAGAATGGCGTGAACCCAGGAGGCGGAGCTTGCAGTGAGCTGAGATCGCGCCGCTGCACTCCAGCCTGGGCGACTGAGCGAGACTCCATCAAAAAAAAAAAATCATATGTACAAAGTACAGTGGGGGAAATGCTTATACTACAGTAAGGTTAAAAAATACTAAATTGTATAACTGATCTGGTTTCATACATATATAAATATGCACAGAAAAAAAATGTAATATATATGTGCATAGAAAGACCTGGAAGAAACATACCCCAGAATGCTAGCAGTGCTTGTATGCGTGCAGATGACGCAGTCAGTTGGCACCTTTACTTGTACCGTGAGTGCTTAGGGGCCCCGCCTCCGGGAACCATGTGGGGTGGTGGGGCGCTTGAGACAGTGTTTCCCTGGCAGGGCCCTGCCACACCATGGCCTGGACCTCTCTACTCAATCCCCAGTGTTCCACAGTGAGCATGAATTTTATAAGCAGAAAGAAATTACTTTCAAGAGCCAGGCGCGGTGGCTCACACCTGTAACCCCAGCCCTTTGGGAGGCTGAGGTGGGCGAATCACAAGGTAAGGAGTTTGAAACGTGCCTGGCTAACATGCTGAAACCAAGCCTCTGCTAAAAACACAAAAATTAGCTGGGCGTGGTGGCAGGCACCTGTAATCCCAGCTACTCAGGAGGCTGAGGCAAGAGAATCGCTTGAACCCGGGAGGCAGAGGTTGCAGTGAGCTGAGACCACACCATTGCACTCCAGCCTGGATGACAGAGACGACATCTCAAAAATTAAATAAATAAACAAACAAACAAATAAATAAACTTTTAAGAATCACCAATAGAAATCTGTCTTTCCCTCCATCTTTTTTTTGTTTGTTTCTTTTTTGAGACAGAGTGTTGCTCAGTCGCCCAGGCTGGAGTGCAATGGCACAATCTTGGCTCACTGCAACCTCCGCCTCCTGGGTTCAAGCAATTCTCCTGCCTCAGCCTCCTGAGTAGCTAGGAGTACAGGCATGTGCCACCACGCCTGGCTAATTTTTGTATTTTTAGTAGAGACGGGTTTTCACTATGTTGGTCAGGCTGGTCTCAAACTCCTGACCTCGTGATCCACCCGCCTTGGCCTCCCAAAGTGCTGGAATTACAGGCGTGAGCCACTGTGCCCAGCCTTTCCCTCCATCTTGATTGCAGTGGTGATTACACACATGTAGACATTCATCAGAACTCATCAAAGTATACACTTAAAACTGTGCATTTTATTACATGTAAGTAACACCTCAATCTGAAAAGTATCAGGGCAAAACCACACGCTGCAGAGGGGCAGGGCTCCTCCAGCAGTTACTTACTTCCCTTGAAACAGCAGCTCAAACATGGAGTAGTCTTCTGTGACTAAACTTCTTTTCCCTCCTCCTAACTTCCAGGAAGATCCTTGTTCTGAATAGGATTTGAGGTAACTTAGGAAACTGCTCTCAATACGGAATTTTAAAGTTGGTGAAGAAGTCGACAGAAGGGGAAGTCACAGTAGGAAAATCAAGGTACTATCGGGATGAAGTCAGCACGCAGAGCAAGCCCAGCAAGGCCCAGGCACCAGAAGGCCTTAGTCCCTGCCCACCTTGCCCAGGCCAGTCAGACAACACGGACTGCCCCAGAAGGTCACCTCAGGGAGATGGGGGTGGTCTCTCACTGCTGGATATTGATGAGCCAGGAGGGCTAAGCCTTCACTATCCTCCCTAATAGACATTTGGGGTGCAGAGATGCTGGTCCCTGAATAGAGTTGGGATTCAGGGTCCTTGGGAACACTGGGCACCTGGTGGGTGGGTGGAGGGGCAGGACTGGCTACAGCTATGTTCCCTTAGAAACAGACTGGTGGAATTAACGAAATAAATAAATGAACCAAGGTGCTTTGCCCCCCCCAAAAAGTGAGTTTTGTTCTGCATGGAGCGACTGCCTTTGGGAAGCCACCAAGGCCACCTGCCAACAGGCAAAAGCTGTGCTGCTGTCTGCCTGGCTGCCTCCGGCCCTCCCAGTCCTGCAAGCTCATGGCCAGGACGATAAGGATGACAGGGGGTAACACCATGGTCCTCGCTGCCCTTCCTGGGGCAGGAGGGCCCAGAAGGCTGATAAGCCAAACCCAGGGCCGCCCTCGGCTGCTTATCTGCCCAGCACCTTTCCTCTAGGTCCTCTCCTCCCACCAGTGTGGGGGTCGGGAAGGGGGTTGCAAGGGGAAGGGGTTGTAGGGGGAGGGGGTTGCAGGGGGAGGGGGTTGCAGGGGGAGGTTCCTGAGCCACACATCCCTGGAGACTCAGTGGGAGTAGCTGTACCAGGAATCAGGCACCATTCTGCCATAAGGCTGCGTGAGAGCAACTGGCCAGCTTCCTCTGACTTCCCTGTCCCCTCACCCAAATGGATGACATCAGGAGCTAATGGCCCAGGCTGCCCTCCTGCTGCAGTGGCCATAATTCTTGCGGCAGGCCCGCCCTGCACTCCGCGGGCCAGCCTGGGTGCCTCATCCTGGTCACCTGGCAATGGGTTTCATGGGGCCCACTCTCCGTGCCCACAAGCCTGTGTCCTGCCTGGCCAGGCAAGGAGTCCCGGGGGCAGGCAGCTGCCTCACCCCCGCATGACCCCCCAGCCCAGGGGACTCAACGGTGCTGTCATCAAAGGGGCAGCTGTAGGTCTAGGGGGGACATGGAGGGGACTAGCTCTGGGTCTCTGGTGTTGTGGGGCTGACCTATGGAGAACAGAGCTGGAGCTGGGGGGACATGAAGTCTGCATGTCTACAGCCCCAGCAAGGAGCCCAGGCTTTCTAGGCAGAAGCTGTTGGGGCATCAGGGCCCCATGGGCTCCCCAGGCCCAGCCCCTAAGAACCACGGCAGCTGCACCACACCACTGTCTCCACTTCCATATCCTCCAAAGAGGTACCTCCCCTCTCCTATGGCATCTCCGATCTGAGGACCTGCCACCTCCCAGAGGACCAGAGGCCCTGATGCCCCAAGTCTTGGACTTGAAAAGATGTTAATATCCACTGCCCCAAGTGCCAAGGTTCAGAAGCACTGGTCCAGGACACACAGCAGCAGGGAAGTGGAGCCCTCACTCCAGCCTACAGTCTGGGCTCCATCACTATGCTCCCTCTCTATCCTTCCCTCCCAACAACCAGGGCTGTGTGCCCACCTAACACACCACACACTTCCCAGAAACAGGAATCACATCCTTTTCAGGGCTGGCAGGGTGGCTGAAGACAGCCCAAAACCTCCTGAATGGAAAAACGTTGATGGGGAGACTGAGGGCCAAGGTACAGGCCTGTCCAAGGTCACCCCCAGGGTGGCGGATCCAGGACTCCAGGCAAGATCTTCCTACTGTCCAAGCCTCTCCCCACCCTCTCTTGTGTGGCCCAGCACCCTGGACTCCTCCACGCCCAGGTGTGCTCCCCACAGGCACACTGGGGGCAGGGTAGGCAGCAGGTGCCCCCCGCCAGGATGGTGGCTCTTCCTTCGGCAGACCTTCAGCCCTCTGCTCCTGGCAGGACATTGTGGCCCTCCTGCCCACGTTGGTGCGGGTTGAATTTCACAGCCCAGCAGAATTCCCGGGCAGGGCAGCCTGGCCATCCTCCCTGGTCTCGGCTCTGAGGGCGTAGACCCAGCCTCTCAGCCTGGAGTCGTGGTGAATTCATGAACAAGCCTCCATTTCCAGAACCTTCCTGAAGAAAACAGCTCTCTAGGCTGGGGCAAGAAGCCTGTCCCTACCGTGATAGAACCACCCCTCAATAACCCCAGACACCACCTAGCACCCACTGGGGGCCACCCAGGGAGCCCACCCAGCCCACTCTGGGCTTGGACAGAGGGCAGGCCTGGAGGAAGGTACATCTAACCCCACTGACCGACATGCAGCTGGAGCCAGGGCCTACTGCCACCGCAGAGGTGAGAAGCAGGAGCAGCAAGACCTGGTGCCCATTAGTCATGGGGGAAGAGCAAAAGGGGGCGACAGGGACAAATTCAGGCCCTGGCTGGGCTGCCTGTCAGGGGAGTGATATCCAAGGAGGAGCTGGTGGTAAGTGGGGGGTGGTGGATACCAGGTACAACTTGGTCATGCCTCAACACCAACCACCACGGGCCTACCAGCCCCGTGTGCCCTCCCTGGCCCGGAGTCCACAGGGTGCAAAAGGCTGATCGCACAGGACCTTCCGCGAGAATCCTACGCCGCAGAGCTCGTTCTATTGGTTTCCAGGCCTTTTTACACGCTGTCCTGCTGCTTGGACATGCCAGTCCCCACCCCTGCACCTACCCAGCTCCTGCGGCACTCAGCTGTCACCCACTCTGGGGCACACACCTGGCTCTAGATCAAGGTGAGAGGCTGCTCCTCACTCCTTTCGGGGCTGGACAGCGAGTTGAAGGCCCGAGCCCAGCTGCACCCAGAAAACCTGCCACTGGGAACTCACCTGACCATCCAAGCCCAGCCCCCAATGCATGCGACAGATGAGGCAGAGATTGTGCTATACAGAGATCAATATATATAAAGTGCCGGGTACAACGCTCTGAAAAATAGTTTTGTCCCAAAATCCAGCGCGTAGGATGCTCCGGGCCTAGCCCTTGCCGGTGAGGTCCAACGGTTGCAGGAATGGGGGCAGCGGCAGCTCGTCCAGGGCCTCCGGGAAGCGGCCTGGAGAGATGGCGGTGACCAGCACCTGCATGGCGCGCGCGAAAAGAGAGGGCGGCGCCAGGCCCGCCAGCCACTGGAACTTGTCCTCGCCCAGCAGCCGCTGCCAGCGCGGCCGGTCGCCCAGCAGCTCCTGGCGGGCCGAGCCGGCGGCGCCCACCGGGGTGTACAGCGCCAGGAGATCCAGGAGCAGCAGGCGGCGCTGGCGCGGCTCCCCTGGAGCTGAGGCCGGGGCTCCGGCGGCGGAGGGAGTGGCCCCGGCGTCGCGGCCCAGCTGGCGCAGCAGCAGCTCTAGAGGCGTGAGGCCGCCGCCGTCGCGCAGGCCGGGCGAGGCGCCGTGGCCCAGCAGCAGGAAGAGACACTCCGGGCGCGCTAGCTCGCAGGCCACGTGCAGCGACGTGCCACCGCCCTCCACGCGGCTGCAGCCACGCCGGTCCAGCACGCGCGCCCGCTCCTCCGCCGGGAAGTCGCGCAAGGTGCGCAGGATGCGGCGCAGAATGCCCACGCGGTTGTAGCGCACTGCCAGCGCCACGTGCGGCCCGGGAGCCGCGCAGCAGCGGAAGCCGGCGCTGGGCGGTGCCAGCGCGCGCCGCGGGAACGTGGCCAGCAGGTAATGTGCGTACGCTTGGTGGTCGTGCACGAGCGCGTAGAGCAGCGCCTCAGAAGGCGAGTAGGCGGCGGCGCGCCCCCGCTCGTCCCAGTGGAAGGCCTCACTGGCGCGCATGTCCTCCAGCAGCCACACGGGTAGCAGGTCGCGCACCGCCTGATAGAAAGCGAACGACGACTTGCGGCACTGTTTCTGCGCCCGCGAGCGCGCCGCGCCCGGGCCCTCGGGCCCGCCGTCCGCGCCACCCCCAGGCCGCCGCGCGTCCCACGGCATGCTGGCGGCAGGGCGCTCCTGGGCCTCAAGGCATGGATCCCGCGAAGGCACACCTGCGGGGAAAGGAAGGGGCCACGGTGAGGCGCGGGGAAACTGGGGAGGTCCAGGGACTCCCCTCTGCCCCTCACACAGCCCCTCCGGTCCTGGCCCACCAGGCCCTCGTACCTACCTCCAGCCTTGGCCAGGCCCTACCAGTCACCCCACAGCTCCATCTCTCCCACGCCCAGAACCCCCGCCTCCATCCTTGATCTAGTTGTACCTGTTCTCCCTCCTTGAAACTGACTTGCTCTCTGGCACCTCTGCTGGAAATGCCCTTGCTGCCCATGCCCTCAAATCTTCCCTCCCCTCTCCAACCCAGGGACCCACTGGAAAAGCTTCTGTTCCCACCTAAGCCAGGTTCATACAACCCCAAAGAAAAGGCCAGGGAAGGGATGAGGAAGCTTGGGCCCACATCTCAAGATAAGGCAAATCCACTCTCCAGCCCAAGCGCAACTCTGACCCTGACCTCCGACCCCAGACCACTTGGAGGCCCCTGGAGCCTCTTCCTGGGCTGTTCAGAGGCATGATCTAGACTCAGACCTACCTGGTTCCTGCACCGCGATCACCTAGTTCCGGGGATGTGGGTCTATCACTGTCCCTGGCCGAGCCTCAGCTTCATCTGTAAGAAAGGGGAGGGGTGGACGACGGCTGTGCGGGCGGGTGAGCCTGGGGCGTGGCACCAGCCCTCTATCCAAACATGTTTGCCTACACTTATAGGTTAGCACCCCTAGCTCCTGGGAGGAGACAGGAGGCTGAAAACAACTTGGAGGCCGGTGTGCACCGCACCGCATAGTCTGCCATCCTCTTCAGGCCTCATACCTCTCTTGATCTCCCCAACTACTAGATGAAGCGGGTACTGCCATCCCACTTTCCAGCAGGGCACAAGCTTCTGCAAGGTCAGCAAGCCACGGCAGAGCCAGGCCTAGAACTCAGGTCTCCTGTGTCTCAGTTTGGGCTCATTCTAGAATTGGTGGGGACCCCCAACCCACAGGGAATCGAGCTTGAGCCCTGACCCTGCCTTCTGAGTCCCCAGCCCCGACCTGAGCGTAGGCGTCTGACCTCTGGCTCTGTCCCAAGCTCCCTACTGCCTTCTTTCAAGGGTAAGCCCTTGGTCACAAGGGGCCTGGGACAGAAGGCAGGCCGCGTCCACACACACTGACTGGGTCACTATCACTGGCAGTAACTGAGTTAAAGAGAGCCGCACGGTGAGGGTGGGCTGCAGCGCGTGGACGCCACCGTGACTGGAGCCCCTTCCCCAAGCCTGGGCCTCCGGGCCCCAGGTATGCCCTGTGCCGGCACGCGTGGGGCGCCGGGCGGGTTACGTAAAGTTCGGCCTCCCCACGTCACCGGGCAGAGTCACGGCCGCGGCTCGTGAATAGGGGGGTTGGGCCATCGAAGGCAGCGCCGCGCCCGGGGCCGCCCGCCACCTCCTCCTACCCGTCCCCTCCCGGCCGGCACGGCCAGACGTCGGGCGGTGGAGGGTCGCGGGGGCGTGCGGGGCGTCCGCGCGCAGGTGGCCGGCGCAGCGAGGGCTGCACCTGCATGCGCGTGTGCCGGGGAAGGAGGGGGCGGCCGCGGGCGCGGCGAGGGGGACGGGGACTCACCATGGGGGGCGCGGGGCCACAGGCCGGGCGTCCCCGCCCCTGCCGCGGGTCGGAGCGCGCGCTGTCCCCCGCGGGCGAGCGGGCGAAGGTCCCACGACGGACGCAAGGGAGGGAGCCGCCGCCGCCCGCGCCCCGCCGCACGCGCGCTGTCTGAGCCTGCCGCGGCTGGCATCGCAGGGCGCCCGCGTGGCCGGTTGCCGGGCGGCTGCGGGCGGGCGGCGGGGCGGCGGCGGCGCAGTGCGGCCCGCGCCAGGCAGGACGCGCGGACCGTCCCGCCGCCGCATTGGGCGCTGCCGGCCGCCGGTCCCCGCACCCCCATTGGCGCCGCGCTGCACCATTGTTACGTCACCGGCCGGCGGGCGGAGCGCACCGCTGGACCCGCGGAAAACTTCGGAGAAACTTGAGGGAGCGCGGGCGGGGGGAACGGAGAGGAGGGGCGGGGCCGTGGCGAAAGGGGCGGGGCGGGGAGGGCAGGGGCGGGTCTCCCGGAACCCGAGCTGCGGGCGAAGAAAGGCTACGCGCTCCGAGCGGCCCCGACCGGGGAGGGCGCCGCTGCTCTGTGTGCCCGGGCGCGCGCGTAGGTGGCCCGCCCTCCGCCGTGCGTGACTTTCCTTGTCACGTCCAGCTCCCCTTTTCTCTGACCTTCCGTGACCTTGGGAAAAACCTCCGGGCTGTTACCCCATCTGCAACATGGGAGGGCCGGGGGTAGGAGCCGCCACCTCCAAGGGCTCCACCGCCTTCTGCCCGGCCAGGGTCGTGCCTGGCGCGCCCCCGCTCCAGCTGACCCGCGCAAGGGAGGGAGGGGCGGACGAATGGGGACAGCTCTTTAGGAGCGCGCACTGCGCCCATCTCGGCCTCTACACTCTTGTTTCCACTTCGTTTCACGACCACCAGCCACAGTGGACACGATGATCCCCAGTTCATCCGCCAGCAAATCAGGGCTCAAGAGAGGTGTCCTCAAAGACAGGAGCGGCCAGGAGGGAAACCGGCGGTTTGCCCTGCGGTTCTTCCCACATTTGGATGGGATAGATTGGATTGGGCCTCGGCCACCCCTACCGTCTCCGTGGCGGGTTCCAAGGTTTGGGGTCATGACCTAGGGGGCTTAGGAGCCTGGGTCCATCTTTACTAATTTATGGCCTCACTCGCCCCAGCCGCTGGGAATTCTAGGTCCATTTTACAGGTGTGGACGCAGATCTGGAGAGGGGCAATGACTGCCCAGCCCCCCATCCATCCTCCCAGACACGACCTTCCACCTGGGGTCCCCAACACATGGCCAGGCAGCTGGGGTCTCATGGTGAAATCCCCACATTCCATGCAAGGGCTCTTTCTGGTTCCTTCCCCAAAATGCTGTCCTTGCCCTTCCAGTACTATCTCACCAGGGAGACCCTCCACTCCGCTCCATCCAGGCAAGGCCTCTGCCTCGCCCCGGTGGGAGGGGCCTGGTCCAGAGGGCACGCCCCTGCACACACACTCAGCCCTGTCCTGGCTTCTCTTTGTGCCCCAGCCAGTCAGTCTGGGTGGAAGTCCTATACCTGGGCCCTCTCAACAGACCTAGGCAGGCCCCTGTCCCCAGCCCAACGAGCTCAATCCCTTAGGCACACACACCACAGAGCAGTCGTGAGAGGCCAGGTGGGCAGTACCACGAGGCAGGCAAGGCTGTGAGGCCGAGAGGGTCAGGCCACCCCAGCACAGGTGGGCACTCACATGCACCCTGCCCAGGCTGCCATGCATGGACCCACCAGGGGGATGGCCGGACCCCACCAGCCCTACCCTCCCCACTTCAGGGCGGGGGACCTTGCAGGCCACGCTGTCTCTCCAGGGAGTCCAGGTCGTCAGCAGGAGTAGGGGTACAGAGGGCACTGGGCCTGGCATCCGCACCAGCCTTTGCTTCAGCTCCACATGTCTCCTCCTGTGTCTAGGCCTGTCTCCCTAGAGCTTCTCCCATCCGCCAGTTCTGGATGCCTCTGAGTACGATGGCAGGGAGAGCAAAATGAGTAGAGGTCCTGGGGTCAATAATTGACCTTTGGCAGCCCCAGGCCCTTAGGGACATCTTGGGGAGATGGTGCCCAGGTGGGCTATCTGTGGCTCAAGACTCTCCTACTCTCTTGCCCTTTTCAAAGGCTGGAGTTAAGATACAGCCATCTCCATGGCTACTGGTGGAACGAGGGTGAAAGGGCATCAGTGGATGCCAAGCTGTGCACCGGGCCTCAGGGCAGGTCTCTCTCCGACCCCTTGATGTTTTCCCTGCCCCCGTGCCCCCACCTGCCTTCCTCACTGGGGATCCTAGCGGCCTTTTCTTTTTTTTTTTTCCAAGATAGAGTCTCACTCTGTCACCCAGACTGGAGTGCAGTGGATCAATCTCAGCTCACTGCAACCTCCACTTCCCAGGTTCAAGCAATTCTCATGCCGCAGCCTCCCAAGTAGTTGGGATTACAGGCATGCACCATCATGCACAGCTAGTTTTTGTGTTTTTAGTAGAGACGGGGTTTTGCCATGTTGGCCAGGCTGGTCTCGATCTATTGGCCTCAAGTGATCCGCCTGCCCCAGAGACCTTTTTCTAAAAGCCAAGTCTGACCCTGTTTCTCTGCTGCCTAGAAGCTTCCTGTGGATGTGGACATAGCCACAAAGTCCGGATGGGCAGAAAGAGGCATTTCTGGCAGAGGGCAAAGCAGGGGCAAAGGTCTGGAGTGTGACCCAAAGACTGTAGAGGCCACCTGACTGGCCAGGTCCCACGGGGCCTGGAATGCCCAGCAAGGATCCTGGATTTTCCCTGGAGACCCAAGTGGAGGGTTGGGAAGTGGTTTCATTAGTGAATTATTTTAGACACACATACAGAGAGCATTAAGATGTCTGGGAGCCCAGGACCCAGTTGAAGGAGCAACACAGGGCAGATTGGAAACCCTGCGTGCCTGTCCCTCCCTCCCCAGCCAGCTTCAGTGTGAGTCCGCGTGTCTGTCCCACTGTAAGTGCAAGTGGCAGCAGACATTGTAACACTGCCTACCACGGGGCCCCACAGCACTGCCTCACCTCAGTCACTTTGCCTTTTTCTCCTCAGGTCACTTTTAGATCCAGCCCCAGGGGAACCCCCTGCTTTGGGTCGCAGCTGCCATCTCTGCTGCAGTGTCTTCTGATGAAAGCTGTCCCCTGTGGGCACGAGTGTGGACATCCTGCACCTCCTAGGGCAGCAGTGCCGAGGTTGGTGGTGCCCTCCACGTGGTTTCATGGCATCGATGCTGCAGTAGAGGCGGCCCGGGGACATGTGACCAGCTGCAAAGGGGCAGGTTCCTCAGGGAGGGAGGATGGGCTGCAGGGAGGGTGGCTGGGACAGGGGAACAGGCACAGCATGACTTCCAAACACCTAGGAAGCCCCAGGCGGAGGGCGGAGTAGGGGGGATCTTGCCATCTTCAGATGGGAGTTGACCTTTGAACCCATCATGCTCCTGCTGGGACCTGACCCAGGCATACTCCTCTTCCTCTGGGAGGGCTTGTCGCACCAGGGCAGGGTCTGTGTGTGCCCAGGCAGGGAGCTACAGGCAGTGGGGGGAGGCTGGGGCTGCAAGCACAGAGGCCCCAGAAAGCGTGTGAGGATGCTGGGGAGCGGGAAGGGCCCTCAGAGGGGTGGTATGGCCAGCTTAGGTTTTCTTGGCAACTCTAGTTGAGAATGCACTGCAAGGAGACAGACAGGCTACAGCCACTGAAGCCAACCGTGCTGTAGCAGGCGGAGGGCACCGGGAATCCCTGGAGAGACGTGCCACCTGCTGCAGGACCCCTGGCCCATAGGTGAGGGTGTGAGCAGATGAGGAGAATCTAGGAGGCCTCCCATGTGTTAGGGGAAAGCCGAGCACCTGGAAGGTGGCGGAGCCAAGAGGTGTCCTTGGCCCTGGAGGTGGGGGGCATGGGTATAAAGAGGGTGCTTGGAGTGTGAGGCACCAGGGACAGGAGGTGAGAGGCCCAAGGCCCCAGCCGGGGCTTCCAAGAAAGGAGGTGGGTAAGGGCTGTGGGGCCAAGAAGGCACAGGGCTCCCCGAAGACAAGGTGTCCCAAAAATAAGGGAGCAGTCAAGTGGGACGGATTCGGATGTGGCAACACATAGGTCACAGTGCCCTTTACAGAATCTCATGGGTTGGGGGAGAAGCCTGTTTGGAGAGAGTTCAGGAGCAAGCGGGGAGCGGGATAGAGCCGTGAGGATGGGAAAGGAAGGCTTAAAGAATGAAACGGTGGGGATAACACACGTGCACATGCATGTATGTGCACTCAGACACGTGGGCAGGCCCACACATGCATCTGTGCATCATGGGCGGCGTGCTGTGTGTGCACGCGTGTGTGTGGGCAGCATGCTGCAGCCTGCATGTGTGTGTGTCCATTATGTGTGCAGTGCGCTGATGGGCAAAAACGCTGACGATGCAGGCCAGCTGATAACCTGGAGGAGGCCGGCTGGGGTGGGGCCTGCCACTCATGACGGGCACCCTGGGCTGGCAACATGGGCAGTTCTTCTTGGGGCGGCAGCACATTGGGCACAGACACAGAGGAGGGCACAGGTAAAGGTGCTCGGAGACATCTGCTCTGGTGGCTTCTATTTTCAAGGCCATCTGCTGAGACCGGGAAGGGGTGGCGGCTGGGGAGGTGCTGGAGGAGAGGGCTTCATTGACTGCCTGCACTGAGATCCTCTCTGACCTGAGCCCCTGCTGCCCGGCCAGGCCTGCGGAGCCTGCCATCTGGGCAAGTGGGATGGGACAGATGGCTGTGGCCAGGAAGGCACCACAGGTGCAGGCAGGCAGGTTCCTCAGGGAGGGACTGGCACCAGACACGCTGGATCCCCCCTAATTAGCCACTCACCAGCGGTGGGACTGGGCTGAGCACTAGTCACTTATCTGTGATGTGAGTCAGGTGGATTTTGGGTGTCAGAAGGAAGGTGTTCCATGTGGCAAGACTGGCAGGGCCAGCATGCAGAGTGGCTAGGACCAGATGAGAGCCTGGGGGTGTCCCACCACTTGCCCCACCTCATGCAGGTCCTGTCCTTCCACTGCCTGGCCAGACCAGACCAAAGCTCACCTGGCCTTTAAGACTGGCACCTGCACCAGGAGCCACTACCACTCCCTCCTATGGTGGCAGGCTGGGCTCTGCCCCACCACGTCTGCAGCCCCATTAGCATCTCTCAAGACTCAGCTTTGGGATGCCAGTACAGACCAAAGACAGGACAAAACCAGTGGAGACAAGGGACATCCTGGGAGCCAAAGGGTCCAGCATGCATAGCCAAGGAGTGGCGTCTCGAGTGCGCAGGGAGCCCCTAACATAGCTGGAAGATCAGCCGGGAGGAAGACAGGCGAGGGCACCATAGGCTCTCCACATGCTGGCCAACAGACATGTGGAGACATGTGATTCAGCTTCGCTCGGAATCAGCACGTTTACAGGCTCCTGGCGAAAACTGAGTAGCCTGGGAACAGCCTGTGCTGGCCGGGTTAGGATTCAGGCACTTGCCCCACCAGCAGGGAAAACTCGCATGCTTGTGGGCCCAGCAGATCCTTTTGTAGGCATCTTATCCCAGGTAAATACCTGCCTGTGTTCCGAGTTACATGTCCAATACAATGCTCACTGTTGTGGATTTTGTTCTCTTGTCTTTTTTTTTTCTTTTTTTTTTTAAGACAAGGTCTTGCTCTGTTGCCCAGGCTGGAGTGCAGTGGTGCAATCATAGCTTACTGCAGCCTCAATCTCCTGGGCTCAAGTAATCCTCTCACCTCAGACTCCTGGGTAGCTGGGACTATAGGCACAGGCCACCACACACAAAAAATAAATTTTTTTATTTTTATTTTTGTAGACATGACACCAGGTCTTGCTATGTTGCCCAGGCTGGTCTTGAACTCCTGAGCTCAAGCGATCCTCCTGCCTCAGTCTCCCAAAGTGTTGGGATTACAGGCATGAGCTACCTCGACTGCCCTAATTCTTTAATGTTTCATAAAATAATTCAGCAGCCAGGTGCAGTGACTCGCACCTGGAATCCCAGCACTTCAGGAGGCCGAGACAGGCAGGTCACCTGAGGTCAGGAGTTCGAGACCAACCTGGCCAACATGGTGAAACCCCATCTCTACTAAAAATACAAAAAAAATTAGCCAGGCATGGTGGTGGGCGCCTGTAATCCCAGCTACTCGGGAGGCTGAAGCAGGAGAATCACTTGTACCCAGGAGGCAGAGGTTGCAGTGAGCCGAGACGGCACCACTGCACTCCAGCCTGGGTAACAGAACGAGACTCTGTCTCAAAAAAAAAAAAAAAAGAATTTAGCTGAATTTTATATTTCATCTCTAACTATGTCATTATTAAAGCTTTGAAGAGAATACAAGTGCATACCCAGTACTAGGGAGGTAGAGTCACTACTGCATCTTTAATAAGGAAAAACTGGAAGCTACCTAGGTTACCATCAGAAGGGGTATGGCTGACATGGTCATGGAGAAGCCTGCTGTGACTTTGCTGCGGGCTCCTGCTCTCCTGCTGGGCCTGCTGAGAGCACTGGGTGTGAGCCTGGAGCCTAAGGGCCGAGTCCCTCCCGGGCAGAGATGTGAGACAGTCTACATGGCCTCACTGTCTCTGAGTCCTTGTAGGATCACGGCATCCAGCCATGCCTGAGCACTAGGGCTTTCCATTAAATAAGTGAGTAAAATGGAGCTGGGCGCAGTGGCTCACACCTGTAATCTCAGCACTTTGGGAGGCCAAGGCGGGTGGATCACAAGGTCAGGAGTTCAAGACCAGCCTGGCCAACGTGGTGAAACCCTGTCTCTACTAAAAATACAAAAATTAGCTGGGCTTGGTGGTGCATGCCTATAGTCCCAGCTACTCGGGCTTAGGCCCATTGGATATGGATCTGTCATTTGAAAAAGTCCTGACTAAGAGACCTCCCCGGGACAGTCTCTGTCATCCAGGTACAATTATAATACCATTCCTTTTCACATTCCCCAGGTCCTGATTTGGAAAGTCAGTCACATGGATGGCTACCATGTGCCTAAAGCACTTGCAGCCTCAGGTAAGAAAGAAAAGTCTAGGTTTCCTCATCTGCAAGGAGAGATGACAGTGATGTCTACTGAGTCCTTGAAGCCACACTTGGCACAAAGCTTGAACCAATAACATAGCTGCTAGGATTGGTTTTTTTGTTTTTTTGGGGTTTTTTTTGAGATGGAATTTCACTCTTGTTGCCCAGGCTGGAGTGCAATGGCGCCATCTCGGCTCACTGCAACCTCTGCCTCCCGGGTTCAAGCGATTCTCCTGCCTCAGCCTTCTGAGCAGCTGGTATTACAGGCATATGCCACCATGCCCAGCTAATTTGTATTTTTTGTAGAAACCAGCTTTCTCCATGTTGATCAGGCTGGTCTCAAACTCCCGACCTCAGGTGATCCACCTGCCTCAGCCTCCCAAAGTGCTGGGATTACAGGCGTGAGCCACCATGCCCAGCCGCTGCTAGGATTTTTAAAAATATTTCAACATAGGCCAGGCATGGTGGCTCACACCTGTAACCTCAGCTACTCAGGAGGGTGAGGCAGGAGGATCACTTGAGCTAAGGAGTTTGACACCAGCCTCGGCAACAGAGTGAGACCCTGACTCTAAAAAAAGAAAAAAAGAAAGTGGCACATGTTCAAATAGTATTTGTGTAATTAAGGTAAAACTTTCTGTTTTGTTTTCTTCTTTTTCAGAGAAAGGCAGATGGCGGAGTGTCTCAATTTGAATTTCAACTCTGAATTTGAACTCTGGGGCTCAAGAGATCCTCACACAGGGATCCTCTAGCCTCAGCCTCCTTTGGTTTCATGAGTTTGTAGTAACCCCATTGGGGTTCTGTACTTGGTAAAAGCTGATGAAAGCTGTAGTTCCTCCTCCCACTCACAATATGGGGGGACTCAGCTCAGCCACCCCTGGTCAGACAGTTGACTTGTCAGCCAACACGACTGAGCAGACTCACTGATTAATTTATTCAACAAACAGGCTCTCGGAGCTGTTCTGCAGTCCAGAGCTGAGTAGGCAGAGAAGGCTTCCTGGAGGAGGCTACTTGAGATAAGGAATCGCCTGCATCCCCCATCATTGGTCAAGCCCCGTGGGATCTGTGCAGAAATGCCCTGACCCCCTTGTCACTGCTCCATCATACCTCTCAGGCCCAGCTGCAGCTCCCTGTAGCCTGAGGGACCCTCCCCAAACCAAAGTCACACCTACCTGGCCCCTCTTTCCTTACAGTTCCCCGCCCGGGCTGCCCATGCCAGACTAAAGCCCTCCTCTCCTGGGCTGCCCATGCCAGACTAAAACCACTCCCCTGGGCCGGGTGCGGTGGCTCATGACTGTAATCCCAGCACTTCCGGAGGCCCAGGTGGGTGGATCACTTGAGGTCAGGAGTTCAAGATCAGTCTGGCTGACCTGATGAAACCCCATGATGACAAAAAATACACAAATTAGCAGGGCATGGTGGTACGCGCCTGTAGTCTCAGCTACTCGGGAGGCTGAGGCAGGAGAATCACTTGAACCTGGGAGGGGGAGGTTGCCCTGAGCCAAGATTGCACCATCGCACTCCATTGCTCTGGGCAACAGAGCAAGACAACATCCCAAAAAAAAACAACCAAAACAAAACAAAACTCCTCTCCGTCTAGGCCGAACCCCTTCCTGTGCCACCAGGAAACTGTGTTCAAGCCTCAGGGCCCTTGGCCCTTCTGTTCCCTCTGCCTGGATGCGTCTCTCCCAGGAGTCTGTGTGGCCTCATTTCAGCTGTCACCTGGCTAAAGGAGCTCCCGCGGGCTCTCTGGGCCCTGCTACTGGCACCGGCCAGGTGGAGGGTTCCCCTTTGCCCGCCCACAGGGTGGGGCCTGCCTATGCCTGCTGGGCGGGTAGTCCTGTGGGTGCCCATAAATGCAGATGACTACATAGAGGAAGAATTAAGCAGGCAGCGGGTGGGGCCAGGGCGTGCTGGGGATGCGGCTAGTGCGGCCCTCCTGATGCTCAGCGACTGGGGCAGGGCTGGGGGCAGGAAGCCGTGTTTCATCCCGGGCTGCACCAAGTTCCCTGCCTAGGGCTCTCTGGACACTGGGGGGTGTGGGAGACCAGTGGTGGCTCGGCTCAGCCCAGCTCCCGGCTTGTCCTGGTGTGGCCAGCCCTGGCGGGAAGTAGGACGCCGGGGAGCAGGACGGGCTGGGAGGATCCAACGCACCCGCCCTTCTCCGCCCCTCCTCGCAACCTCGCGCTGGATTCGGCCGAGTGGTCTCGAGTGCGTCCTGCCCCTCGGGCTGGGAAGCGTTCCACGGGTTCGCACTGGGGATGAGCGAGCCGCAGGTTTACGGAGCTGGGGGAGCCTCCTCGCAGCGCCTCCTCCAGACGACGCCCCCCGCAGGACCGCAGGGGCCGGGTCACTGCAGCCCCCCTTCGTCTGCGCCCCCATCTTATTTTCCAGGACCACCTTCGGGACTGTGCTAGATCAGTAGCTGCAGCTTGCAGAGAAGTGAGTCAGAAGGGGGAACTGAGACTGGAGGGCCTGGCCCAGCCCAGGTCACACAGTTCAGGGCAGTCGCAACGGTGTCAGCGGCCCGTGCGCGGGCGCGCCCTCTTCCCACACGCCCCGCCCCGCCGGGTCCTTGCGTCCGCACGATCACTTTCTGGGCCCGAGGCGAGGAAGGGGTCGGGAGACCGAGCCCCGCAGCAGGGCCGGGACATGGGTGGGGGGCGGAGCGCCGCTGATCTGCCCCAAGGCAGATTTTGCAGAGATTTTGTAGGGGCGGGGGTGTCCCCTGGTCGGACCCTGCCGACCGCCCTCGGGGAGAGGCAAGGCCCTGGCCCGTGCCGGCGGGGTCCGAGCCTCAGTATCCCCATCCGCGCAGGGGAAGGCGGGCGGCAGCACAGAGCGCAACCCCAGCGCCCAGCGCGGCCCGACACCGCCCCCTGGCGGCCGCGGACGTCACTGCGACCCGCCGCCTCCGCCGGAGCCCAGCGAGGGACCCCCGACCCGGGCGCCCCAGGCTGCGGGGCCCAGGACGTCCGAGCGCCCTGTCCCCGGTGGCGGGGTTCGCGGGCTGAGTGCCCACCCCGCTCTCCCCTCGCCCCGCGGCCTCGGCGGGCCCCTGCCCACCAGGGTCTCCACCTTCCCCAGCGTGAAATGGCCACAGTCCCTCCATCCGCGCTGCGGCCACGGCGCCTGCCCCCGGCTGGGCCGATCGGAGGTCCCTGCGGGGCGGGCGGGGCAGGTGGTCCGGCGGGCCCCTTCCGGGTTACCCTCCCCCAGCCGTAGTCCGCGGACCGCGCTGGGCGCAGGGAGAGGGCTGTGCGCGCCTCCGCTTCCCGGCGCCGCCAGCGGGGACGAGCGCCGCCCCCCGCCCAGTCGGGAGACGCCCTCAAGGTCCCAGGCTCTGCCTCTGCCCGCCCGCGGCCCGCGGCCTGCGGGTGACAGTGTTCCCCGGTCCGAGCCCCATCTCCCTCGGAGAGCGGACCCTCGCGCTCCTGTACCCTCCACCTGGTGGCCGTCCACCCAGCCCGGCCTGCTCGCGCGTCCCAACTGCCACTTCCCTTGCCTTCCCTAGCCTCACGTCTACCAGGCTCCTGTGTGTCTCCCCGGCTGGGACTTCCACATACTCCAGGCCCACTTCACAGGTGCAGATGCTGAGGCCAGAGCGGCTGAGGAGCTGGCTGCAGGCGAGAGCGTGCGGGCAGTGTGGGGAGGGACTCAGCCTAGCCTTCCATTGCAGCTCCCATCCCTGCTGCGCCACCCCCTCGGCCCGTCAGCTGTCCCCACCCAGGAACCCCCAGGACACGGTCCGCAGAGCCCACTGAGGGTCCAGTGCTGTCCAGGTGGCGGCATCAGGATTCCCAGGAGGCACCCCTCACTCGGCCACCCTATGTCTGTATGTCCAGCAGGGAGCTGAGGGCCTAGAGGGGTGCGGAGGCCCTGCCAGGAGATGCTTTCCTCAATGCCCAGTGTGAAAGGAGCAGAGGGCTGGACGGGAAGGGGCTTCCTGGCCCCAGGAGGGCAGTGATTGGGTAAGCCGCCCACTTTTCAAAAGTGATGAACAGGAAGGGGGAAGGTGGAGGATGGAGGGGCTGCAGGTGATGCCAGTGACCCCTGAGAGACAAGGAGATCTCCACAGTGTATCAGTTCTCTTCTGCTGTGTAACAAACAACCCTGCCAGGGTGGCTTTAAACAGCAATGATGTAGTATTGTTCACGGTTCTCTGGATTGACTGGATGGCTCTTTTTTTTTTTTTTTTTTTCCTCACTCTTGCCCAGGCTGGAGTGTAGTGGCGTGATTTCAGCTCACTGCAACTTCCACCTCCCGGGTTCAAGCGATTGTCTTGCCTCAGCCTCCTGAGTAACTGAGATTACAGGCATGCGCCACCAAGCCCGGCTAATTTTTGTATTTTTAGTAGAGACGGGGTTTCACCATGTCGGTCAGGCTGGTCTTGAACTCCTGACCTCGTGATCCGCCCGCCTCGGCCTCCCAAAGTCCTGGGATTACAGGTGTGAGCCACCGCACCCGGCCTGGATGAGTCTTTTGCTTCATGTGGTGTCCGCTGGGCTCACTCTACAGCTGTAGGTATCTGGAGGTCCAACTGGAGTGAAATGTCCAAGTGGCTTCACCCACACGGCTACAGTCGGTGCTGGTTGCCAGTGGGAGCTCGGCTGCCGCCAGCATGGGCTGCCGCCCCGCTTCCAGGCTCCTTTGCTTGGCTTCTCCACGTGGCTGACTTGGTCTTCCTCACAGCATGACAGGACAAGCCCCAATGTGCAAGAGCTCATTAAACCTCTGCTCCCATCATGCTTTCTAATACCTCACTCTCCAAAACAAGCTCAGAGTCCACGTGGAATGAGACTCAAAAACGCATGAATCCCAGGAAGCCTGGTTTATTATTATGGGCATCATAGCTTAGCACAATGATGGGGAAGCAGTGGAGACAGATTGTAGACAGCCGACCTTCCAGGGCCAGAATAAGCAGGGAAGGCTCCTGGAGGAGGATGGGACTGGCTAAGGAGGGGCTGGGAATTCTCTTCCTTCTCCCTGAAGCTCCAAATCCTCAGGGCCCTGGGGAGGGTGGAGGAGCACCAGTCGCTAAGATACAAATGCTCAAGGCTCAAACTCCTGAACTCAAGGCAAATCACCTGAGTTCAGCAGTTTGAGACCAGCCTGGGAAATACAGTAAGCTCATCTCCACAAAAAATAAAAATAAAAAAGTTAGCCAGGCATGGCCGGTCGCTGTGGCTCACACCTGAAATCTCAGCACTTTGGAAGCCCAAGACAGGCGGATCGCCTGAGGTTAGAAGTTTGAGACCAGCCTGGCCAACATGGCGAAACCCCATCTCTACTAAAGATACAAAAAAAACTAGCCAGGCTTGATAGCAGGCGCCTGTAATCCCAGCTTCTCGGGAGGCTGGAGCAGGAGAATTGCTTAAACCCAGGAGGCAGAGGTTGCAGTGAGCTGAGATCGCGCCATTGCACTGTAGCCTAGGTGACAGAGCGAAACTCCATCTCAAAAAAAAAAAAAAAATTAGCCGGGCATGATGGCGCCTGCCTGTGGTCCCAGATACTCGGAGGCTGAGGTGGATGGATCACCTGAGCCCGGGAAGTCAAGGTTACAGTGAGCCATGATCGTGCAACTGCACTCCAGCCCGGGTGACAGAGCAAGACCCTGTCTCACCAAAAAAAAAAAAGAAAGAAAGAAAAAGAAAAAATCCAAACATACCGACTGTTGACAAGAACATGGAACAACTGGAACTCTCATACACTCCCAGTGGGAATGCAAAATGATGCAAAGACTTTGGAAAAGCTTGGCCATTTCCTAAACTCATCATAAGAACCAGCAATTCCACTCCTAGGTACCTGCCCAAGAAATGAAAACAATATATATTTTTTTTTTCTTAGGGATGGGATCTTGTTCTGTCACCCAGGCTAGAGAGCATGGTCACAGCTCACTGCAGCCTCACCCTCCCAGGCTCGAGTGATCCTTCCACCTCAGCCTCTCGAGTAGCTGGGACTATAGGGAGTGACACAACACCTGGCTGATTTTTAAATTATTTTTTTTGTAGAAACAGGGTCTCACTGTGTTGCCCAGGCTGGCTCGAACTGGGTTCCAGCAATCCTCCCGCCTCAGCCTCCGAAAATGCTGGGATTACAAGCATGAGTCACCATGCCTGGCCTGAAAACATCTTCTCTAACACAAAGATTTGTATGTGAATGTTCTGTGAGGTAAAGTAGCACACCTAGGAAGCCATGCATGCTCGTTTCTGTTTGCAGCACAGTTTCACAAAGCCCCACCTCTGTGACCACCTGCAGCTCTCCAGAAAGATGCTTTGAAGACAAAACGTGACGAGCACGCAGTCTCCA